AGAATAGAAGGAATTCAGATTTAAAAGTGCTTCTCAAGTCTCCTCAAGTCATTGACCTCAAGTCTGAGTCAAGTCCCAAATCATTGACCTTCAAGTCCAAGTCAAGTCTCAAGTCTTAGTCCATTTTATCAAGTCTCAAGTCCTAAAAATAGTGACTCAGGTTTGACTCGAGTCCAAGTCCCCACCTCTACAGTTTACTTTTAGTTTAATAGATATTGGTGATTTCAAATGATTCTGATGAAGGTGTATGAAGTTTAAAAACACAGTAGAGCAGTATTTGTATTACCCCATGACATCACAAGGTGGAACGGAGCATTTTCTGCTTGAAAGAAGAACTCTAACTGCAGGATTTGTGTGTTAAACATGTGTGAATGAAACAAAACACAACTCCAGGTCTGTTTGTGACGACGAAACAACATTATAACCTAGATAATAAAATAGTGTAATATGGGCCCTTTAAGCAGATTTTATTAACAATTACAGCTACAATGTGCATGTATACGTACTGATTGTAAACTTATTTTTCTCCAATAAAGTTACTTAATGTCACTGTGAGATTTACCAAGCCCTAAACAAGAGCCAATCTTTAAAACGGATTTGTTGTTGGAGAAATTACATGAAAGTTTGAACAGACAATTATGTAGACAGACCTTTACCACAATTACCGTTACAGATAATTAGTAAAATAGACCCTTTGTTAACCATCAGTGAGGAATTGTTTGCTTAGATTCGCACTCTTGTCCATTTAAGAGGAAAATTAATCTTTTATTTTGTCCAATCCCCGAGCTAAAAAAACAAAAATCTCTTCTGCGAATCATTAGTTTGAAGCAAGTCCAAACACTGAGATGGCCAGTTTGATTGTTGCTATTAAAAATGTATTGTGTTTTTGTTTCGGCGAAGTTCAGTCCAAGGTCGCTCAACTCGTTCAAAAGAGAAACAAGCGTACAGACTGAGAGCGGTTTTGAAATGATAAAGATTTGAACATAAATAACACAATAATCGCTTCATCGTAAAGTCATGGTGGTTGTAGCTCAAAATCATACTGAGAATCATGTCTGGTGTGATGTCTGTTTGTTTGACTGTGGTTGACTTTTTCTATGTACATGTTTGGTTGAACGCACATTTCAAGTTGCCTTACGAGTCCAAACTGAAATCTTTCTGTTTTTTTTTTGTTTTTTTTAAACAGGGGATATCAGTCAGGTCACAACGTCATCTATCGCATCTCGAGCCAGAACCAAACGCAATCGACCGTTCAGATTTGTTTATTTCAGTGACACATTTGAAACGAATGCGCTCAATTTCATTTCTCTCCAGCGACGAATACAATAGACACTTCGTAAAAACCCTGAAAGTGAGAATTCGGGCACCAACCAATCAGCGAAGAGCCATACATTCTGTGTTGACAATGATTCCCGAGATCGAGGGTTTAAAACCGGAGCAAAAAGAATGTTTGGTGAATTTTATCAAGGGGAAAGACGTTATTGCCCTTCTTCCTACGGGATTTGGGAAAAGCTTAAAATACTGGTTAACCCCGTTAGTGGCGCATTACATAGGTCATAACCAAATACCAGCGACTGGTTAAAGGAAAAAAAAAAGTAACTGCCTACCACTGAGCAAACAAATACACAAAAACACTGTGAGGTCAGACAGTTTCTACAAAGTGAAACCAGCTGATGAATCAGGCTACTCATTGATCACATGTTATTTACCAACAAAATCGAACTTCTCTCAACTCAGATTCACAGGTTAGTGCTCAGCTCATTGATTCTGCTGAAATCCGCAATGTTTTTTAGTCTTCTGTCATTTTTTAGCTTTCTTTTTTTCCTCATAAGCAGCCATATTTGTTTTGATATGGACTCAATCGGATGCTTGTCCCTGATTGGCTAATCCAACTGTCAATCACATCATTGTCTATTGCCATGTATTTGTATTGCTCTCAACCTCCTTCCAAATAGCTCACCAAGGGCTTTCTGAATTACACGTATTGTTCTGAATAAGTAAATTTTGTACTTGTATCATTTTAACGCCTAACTTTGTGCACTAATAAATGGATAATAGTTTATGTCTAATAGGCATTTAACTGTACCTCATCTAAATCTCATATTCACTCAGTTTCCGCTAAAACTAGTAACTCCCTGGCGTTTTTGTTTTGTAAAAGTAGCTCAATGGAGGAAAAAGGTTGGAGGTTGGAGACCCATGCTCTGTGGTGTCCAATTAACAATTTTAGTTCACCACATTTCGGTAATTATTGTAACAAGGGTCAAATTATCAAAAAAATAAACTGGACTGGATTACACAGCATGTAATCAAATCATATATTCTAATAGTTTTTTATAATAGCAAAGCATTGATGAACCAGGCTCAGATTCTGTTTTATGGATTTCCAATAAAAAGCACTAATATCACTAACTCTTCAGTATCTTGGAAAGTGGAATAGACAGTTTTCAATTAAGATATAATTTAGTATTTTTTGGAATATAACTTGAAATGTTCTCACAACCAATTAATTTCAAATAATTGATTTTACATTAAGTTAATTACAGCACATAATTTAATTCCTTTACTTATATTTTAATTTGGTTGCACACATTTTAGTTAATATAAGTCTGAATTATTTACTTACACTTGTTCTTTTTGTTTGTTTGAGTGGCCAGACGGAGGACCCTTCCAAAAACAAAGGGGGTAGCACTATTTAGTTTGTTTTACTAAGTTGGCTTGTCTAGTTTGTTTAAGGTTACTTTGTTATCACATATTATTTTCTGTATTATACTTATTTGCCTTCTTGTTACCGTATTTTTTGGATTATAAGTGGCACTTTTTTTTCATGGTTTGGATGGTCCTGCGACTTATACTCGGGTGCGATTTATATAATACAATTTTCAGGCTGACAGTCGCGAGAAGGCGCTCTAGGCTTGTGTGCCAGTATCTAGTACTACTTTTTCTCTTGTACTACTGTCACTTCACTCTACTGCGCATGTCTCCTGTAGAAATAGCCGCTGTCTTGCTGCAAATAGTGAAATATTCAGCCAAAACGGTAATCGAGCAGCAGAAAGAAAGTTTGGAGTGAGCGAGACACTTGTGAGGAATTGGCGAAAGGTGGGGATGGAGAACACAGCTTCATGGCAACCAGGCAGGTGCGCCATGAAACTTTCCTGGAAGTCACTGGATGAATCGACAAAGCCTGGACTTTAATGACAATCTAAACCATCCTGTCAGGATTCAGAAATGAACTGAAAAGAACTGGAACTGATGCTGAGTCTGACGACAGCTACACAGAAGAGGAAGCGGCGCTCTGTTTACTTCATGGATTTATGGCTTGACTCTGGAGGTCGCACAGAAGTGACAGCAAGGATGAAGAATTCAATCGATTTAGTGATTTGGAGTGAGATCGTGAGTTTGGTAAACTTATGTTCTGTTGTTTATGCTATAATTATCTGAATAACTGTTAATATGTTACGTTAACATATTAACGCCTATTCAGCCTGTTGTTCTCTGTTCTATTGTTATTACCATAATTTGCCTTTTAAGATGAAATGTCAGTTAATGGTCTCTGATTTTATAAAATATATTTTCCCAAAAAGAGCGACTTATATATGTTTTTCTTCTTCATTGTGCATTTTTTGGGCTGGTGCAACTTATTCTCCGAAGCGACTTATAGTCCAGAAAATACGGTACTTTGATTAAGATAGTAGTTTTAGTTAATTATTTAGTGTAACTGTGTTCAGTTTTAGTTGGTCATCATGTATTTAAACACCCCTGTTCTCTGTCTGGTTGGGTTAGTTTTTTTCTGGTCAGTTTGATTTAAATTTCCTCAGTTGGGCCCGGCTTTTGGTTCACGATTTAACAAATTTGAGCCTTTGTCAAGTTTCATATTTTTTTGTGACTTTATTACATATAAACTTATTTTTATACCTTGTCTTTGCCTTTCTGTTTGGTCCACTACAGTCCTTAGTCCAAGCAAGTTTACATTTTTCAAGTACTATGTGACATCACGCCGGATTACAGCCACAGGTTTGTAATCAAAAACACAAACTCCGCCCCTGAAGTAGAGTATAAACTGTGGAAACCTGTCGGACCAATCACAGTGTTCACATCTCTGTAATATTCCCGTTCAGTCGTCCAGGTCCTGCCCAGTTTAGCAGCTCTATTTAAACTGTTTGTGGGAGGAGTTTAGGTGATTAGTCCTGCTTTAAATTCACACAAAAAAATGTCTCAAAAACCTCTTGGATTCGGGACAAAACAATCTATATTCATCTATATTCTCCACATTTCCCTGCAGAAAAGAAAACTAATTACCGAGACTCTCTGTGGCGCGTTCAAGGAAATGGCCCATGTAAGATTCAGTGTAGCCAATTACTCCGCTGCACCAGTCCCATTTATCATTCATGTTTTCGTGTAGCTAGCCTAAAGAGAAATTTAACAGCTTGTGATTTCAAAGCAAATGCCTGCTACGCTAACAAGCCCGCCTATTTGTTTAGCTTTGATCCACTCAGACGAATTAGGGTTAACGCCCACGAACGCGAATAAACGCTTCATCTCCGCTCAATTAATCGAGAAGGCAGCGTTTTCCCCAACTTGAAATGTGCATTCAGCCTTAAGAGATAGACAACATTCAAGGCATAGAGTAGATCTCGAAAGAAGGATTCTGTACAATAGTCACATCACAGCCCAGCGGACGGAGGGAACTGACGCTTTTTTAAAACTTTTTTGAACATAATATTTTTTTGTTTTTCTGTACAAGCATATAAAGTCTGTGATTTACTCTTCTGTACAGTTTCAGGCACACGTTTTAGGTTCACGTCCCTCTGGTCTTCGGTCATGCACGCTCCACTCACACGCGCTCGCCAGCTCAAAGGGGGCGGGGGCTGGGGCTGGGGCGGGCTTCCTCGGCTCGGTGTGTGTGTGTGTGTGTGTGTGTGTGTGTGTGTGTGTCCCGCGGGTTGAGGCTGACGGGCGGCTTCCACGGCCAATCGGAGAGGGCGGGAGATCCGGGGAGCCAATCAGAACGAGCTGAGCGCCTCCAGGGCCACTTCGTAACAGAACTTGTACTGCTCCTGTGAAGGGACAAAAACAGATGAGGATGAGGAGCTAGATGAGACTAACTTTACAAAAAACCATTACGAAACTTCTAAGATCTATTATTTTTGGACTTTTGTAGTTTATTCCCAAACCAGGAGCAGTGGTGGAAGGTAGCAAAGTACAAATAGTAAAGCACTGTACTTAAGTGGAATTTTTTAGGTATTTGTACTTTTACAGTGGATATGTTTTACTTTTACTTCATTACATTTGAAAGCCGGTATCTGTACTTTCTACTGCACTACATTTTTTAATTGGACTGAAAAGTAAAAAGGAGTTTTCATATGATTTTAGGGGTTATTTTGGCATAATTGTGGTATTATCTTGACAGTTTTTTAGTTCAAGCTTCGACTTTGAGCAACAAAAAATAATAAATACATAAAATTCTTATGAAAAATTAAGAAATATATAATTAACAACACGTGTGAAATATTTTAATTTTTACTCTTTAAGTGCATAAATGGTTAATACTTTTTCTTTTATTTCTTCATGTCATACTTTTACTTGAGTAGCTTTTTACTTCTATATCTGTACTTTTACTTAAGTAACAACATTAAGAATTTGACCTGGACTAGACCTGGACTTGACCAGGGTTAAACCAGCACTAGACCAGCACTTGACCAGCACTAGACCAGCACTAGACTAGGACTAAAACAGAATTAGACAAGCACTAAACTAGGACTAAACCAGGTCTAGACCAGGACTAGGCCAGCACTAGACCAGGACTAGGCCAGGACTAAACCGGGTCTGAACAAGAACTAAACCAGAACTAGACAAGGACTAAACCAGGTCTAGACCAGGACTAGACCAGGACTAGACCAGCCCTAAACTAGGACTAAACCAGGTCTAGACCAGGGGTAAACCAGGACTAAACAAGAACTAAACCAGGACTAGACCAGTACTAAGCCAAGTCTAGATCAGAACAAATAAGGACAAGTATGAACACACTTGAACTTGTAGTTAATTATTCTTCTTTCACCTCTGATTTATTTCTGATTGGGGTCACTCGCTGCTGTTGGCTGTTTTCTTTTTTTTCCCCTGGAATTTTACTCATTTTATCATTCTCCTTTTCAAAAGCCTGAACTGTCACATTGAGATAAAAAATAAATAAATAAAAATAAATAAATCTCTGCTACCAGGACATATGGAAGAAGTGATTTGCCCAGAGGAGATTTAAACTCTCTGTTGGTGAGGAAACCACTGCTCTCCTCAAATTAGAGCATATTATGTTACTATTATTTTATGTTTCTAACTTACCCAGCACAGCAGTAACAAAAGCTCTAAAATATAACGGTAATTAGCATTAAATCTTAAAAGGTGCACTGTGAAACTTTTCTGGTTGAAGGCCTAAAACCTGTTTTCTCTATGGGGGTGTTATTGCTGTGCCTGGAATGTTGCACAGTAAGATTTTAAACTTATCTATCTCCTAGACCAGAACTGAACCAGGACTGAACCAGGACTGAACCAGGACTGAACTAGGACTAAACCGGGACCAGACCAGGACTAGACCAGGACTGTGGAGAGGCTGGAGTGTGTACAGTGAGGATAGGTTCTTAAAAGTATTATTTAATTGGGAAAAGATTTAAAAAAAAAACTGTTTAATGTCATACTGTCGAACAGCCTAAGCAAAGAAAGAAGATCTCCATGGAGACAACCAGGTGGCGGACCCTCTCCCAGAAAAGTTACGCAATGCACCTTTAACTTAGATTATCTGGACGGCTTTATATTACACATACATTATCATTACAAGAACAAACAGAGCTCTTAAGAAGTAGACAACTTTTCTGGTGGAAGGTCCGTTACCTACTTGTCTCCATGGAGATGTTATTGCTTTCTTGAATGTTCCATGGTATGACTTTAAACACTGTTGGTGTTTCTATTGCTCAAAAATACAAACATTCTCTCTGTAAATAGGTTTTGATCGACAATGTAACCTTTTGTTGTCTCCCTTGAGAGAGACGGCTTTAATCTCTACTGTGGAACATTCTAGACAAAGCAACAACATCTCAATGAAGACAAGAAAATACACACCAATGTCAAACTTTACAAAAGTTATAATTTGGAGACTGATCAAAACAAAGTGAATTGTATTTCACCAAACCAATAAAGAGAAAGCCTGGTAGATCTTGTGTTGATCCACAGACTGTTTGGAGTTGGCCTGGGTGTGAGAGCTCAGAGCAGATGGAGCAGAGGGAGGATCAAACCCTCTACAGCAGACTTCTCTAGGCCCTCAGGTGTGTTGGCTCCACATGCCAAAGCAGCTCCACTAAACTAATGCATTTGGCTCACAATATTGTTTTTCACAACCAAAATAAAGAATTATGCTTTGTTTTTTGGTGTCAGTCTCCAGCACTGTTCATATTTATTAAAGGGCCCATATTACGCTATTTTCTGATCCTTTTCTCATCACAAACCAAATACCCAGAGTTGTGTTTTGTTTAATTCACACATGTTTAACACAAAAACCCTGTATATTTAATTAAAGTTCCACTGAACTAAAGATAAAAGGTATTGAAAACTACCTCTACACGACAGCACAAGGTGGACCAAAGCATTCTGACCTTTGGAGATGGGCAGACTAATAAACCAGAATACACAAATATATGAAAATTAAACAAAACACAACTCAGCATTATATCATGTCTTAAAACAAGAATACATTTTGTGTAATATAGGAACTTCAAGAATGACTCGTGCTTACTAACTACTAGGGATGTAACAATACCAGAAAAATTGTGATATTGTATCGTCAAAAGTCTCACAATAATATCCTGGGCCATCACAATATATCAAATTACAAGTCTCTTTGCGTAAATGAAAAGTTATTGTGGTTTTAATGTCTTTCTTTGTGATTTTAATGTCTTTTTTATTATGTAAAGCACTTTGAATTACTTTGTGTTTAAATTGTGCCATACAAATAAACTTGCCTTGCCTTGCCTCACCGTGGTACAGCAGAAGCTAAAAAACTGAGGGAACTACATATACCATGATCCTTTGGTGTTGTCAGTTCGGATTACATGAAGAAATAACAGTTATTAAGCACTTTTACATCTTAATCCTTCATATTATAGCAGTACCAAAGGTGTTTCAAGGCTTTTCCAAGGCTTTTAAAAGGAAAAGTAGCATAGTCACGATATTCTAAGCCTCCACAAAACACACAATAAATATCAAACTGTGAGATGCATATCGTGAAAATACCAAACCGAGAGATTTTGATATTGTTACATCCCTACTAACTACATGAGGGGTTAGCCTGAGGAGTTAGGATTACAGTATTAAATAAATATGTTTTAAGATAATAAACTCTTGTGCATTTTGAAATACATCTTTGTTCAGGCTAATTTAAGTCTAGTTATTATATAGTGTTCAAGCTCCACAGCACGTCACAGCCATTACTGGTGGAGCAGTACTGGTAAACTAGACCCCACATGTTCCTCACAGCTCCACCGACAGAAGAAGAAGAGGCCCTCACCAGAGTCTCCACCATGTGCGTCTTGTTGTTCCTCAGGGTCTTGACGGTGTGGAACACGTCCACGATGTTCTGCTGCTGGATCATCTCATTGATGCTGCAGATGGCACAGAACGTCCCCGAGCGCCCTCCTCCAGTGCTGCAGGGAGACAAAAGAGGAAAGTTTTATTTTTGTATTGATATTTTATGGACTGTTTGTGCAATTATTTATCCGTGTAATCCATCAGTTGTCCAGAAATGTTTCATAGTGGTCCATGGGCTTATACTAGTCTATGTGCTCTTTTAACATACTGTTCAAATGAGTATCTAGTTTTGTTACTAATTTTAATATTGATTACTATCAAATTTTTGATACTTTTAGCAACCCTGGGGGTGAGCCAGCGTCCTGTCGATCTGAGCTACCCATCAATTTTAGCTACCTAGCACTAATGCACATGCCCTGTACCCCCAAGCGTTGTTCCAATGTAAATGCCCTTCGATTTGAGCACCCGAGGCAGAAGTGGAGTAACAAATAACAACACAAGTGTATTGATTACACTGTATGTTTTGATCAGTTAAGCATCAACATTTAATTATCATTTTCATTACATCATATTTTATTTTGTTTCCTTGTGTAGAAAACATTGTAACTTTGTTTAGAAAGGTGCTGTATAAATAAAATATCAATATCTTATAATAGGAAATTCACGCTGTAGCCTATGATATTAGGTGTTAAATATTATATATTTAACATTATTTAATATAAAGATTTCAGTGTTTTCAGTCATTTCTTTCTCTTATATAGTGAGCCAAATCCATATAAATGAGTGAATAATGGTGATTATACAGCGGGAGCATTATTCGATGACTAAACTGGCCTGTCGATATGTGCTTCCTATAGTCAGAGCCTTATTTGATAGCAGAATACGACTGTTGAAATGAACTACGCATATTCATATAAGAGAGTTAAAATTTTACGTAACTAAGGTATAAAGTATGATCACGGTGTGCAAATAGCATCAAACCTGCTGTCTCTAATCCAAATAAATATGCTGTCAAACTGGGGAGGTCAGGGTTAGGCTTTATTGGATCTATACAACTGTACACGGAAAACATAAGGTTGCTTATTTTGACAGGGCAGCGTGAATCGATAGACGCCACTGTCGATTTAAGTTGCTGGGAGCTCCTTTTGACGAGGCAGCCCATTTCGACAGAACACCGGGTTAAGTGTCTTGCCCAAAGATACAGCTCAACAGCTATACAGGAGAGGTTAATTTCTGTCCTGTGAATGTGACTGTTCAGTATTGAAACCTGCTCAAATGATTATTTAGTTTAAAAGTATTCAGTAGCAAGGACCACGGTACCCTGAAGATATGGATAGATAAATGGCTGGAGACTCAGGACGGGGGCTCTGTCTCAGGTGGTCAACCCAGCCAATTCTGACCACTTTTAACATTCACATAAAAGACACTACATCTCGTCAGTCCCTTGTAACAGCGAGCAATAATAACACAATGTAAAATGATTGACAGTATAACACAGAAGGAGCCATATCACAGAGTCACACAAAAGAACCAACCCACACTAATGGATCTGAAAAGAGGGAGAAAATCTGGCAGTAACTTCTGAAGAGTGATTTGAAGCGTTTTAGATGTTTACTGTGTTTGGAGCTCGGTCACATGTGTCCACCTCCTCATCGCTCTTATGAGATCTGAGCGGACACAAAGAAAGCCACTGTCAGCCCACTGTGCTCAGGAGAAACGCATTTGGCCGAGTGAAAAATGAAGCCAGCAGTTTGATCGTTTTATTTAACCCAAGGCTAATTTACATTCTAAGTGAAATATGTGAAACTACAATAATAGGAACGTCATTGCTGCTCCTGGGCACGACACTTAACCTGACTCACTTCTAAGGTTGTGAAGTCAAAAATAACACACTAAACAATACTAAAACTGGCAAGCAAACTCAAATTGTACTTTCCATATCTGCACTTTGAAAAGTCCATTCATGCATTTGTGACTTCACGACTTGACTACTATAACTCTTTGTATGCTGCATTGACCAGGCCCAGCTTAGTCGCCTACAGGGGGTCCAGAAAGCAGCAGCTCGCCTTTTAACTGGAAAGAAGCGGAGGGACCACATCACTCCTGTTCTTAAATCCCTGTATTGGCCACAAATGGATTCCGCCTCTTTCCCATTAGTAGTTTCTTATATCTAATTATAGTATTTTATTTATTTTATTTGTATTATTATATAATTGTTATATTATACTATTTATTTAGTTTAACGATTTTTATTTTTTTCCAAATTGGGTTTTTTGTAATTAATACCTTGAATGTCAAAGAATCTAAAGTTGAATGAATGAATGAATGAATGTTTATTCGGACAGTAAAGGGTGTATAGTATAGTATAGTTCTGCGTCACCTCAACACGCACTGCCGCCATTGCCTTGTCGCCGTCGTTTTTGGTTTATGGATCTGCGTCGAGATCTGTGCACTGCGAAGTAATTCACTGCCAAAACGCTAGGGGGCGACGATATCTGTCCATTCATATATACGGTCTGTGTGTATGACCCGCAGACGTATAATCTTTGAAAAGTTTAACAAGAACTATCTCTAACGCAATAAAAGCACAGAACAGACTCACCATTAGTACAATATTCCTTTGTCACAGAAAGAACACGCATATTCCACTGAGTCGTGTCCTTTTTAAGTCCGACAGAAGCTGACCGCGTACCAGGAGCGAGCTGTTTTTTGAGCGCTTAGTTTATGCAAGTTAGCCATGCTGTTTTAAGTTTCATTTCTGTAAAACTTAAACATATATGCGCAAAGCTGCATTAAACACATTATTTATCAATGTATACTGAAAGAAAGGAAAGCCGACAGGAAATGTCTGTAGTGTGGTGGTACAGCAATACAGCAGCCCACCATATCGATACTGCATCATCACATTAAACAACACGATATATCGATATTTCAATATTTTTGCACACCCCTATTGAGTACTGAGTCTATTCTTCAGTATCAAAATTTTAGTATCATGTCAGCACTGGTATATAAATGTGTGTGTTCCTAGATGTAAAAAAAAAAAAAGCTCTATAAATGAGGGAAAAAAAAGCTTTATAAATGTGACTATTTACCATTTTAGATAAAACTTCAGAACAGCTCAAGAAAACAGATCAATGCCACGTCTGATTGGCCCAGAGAGCTGTGACGGAGCGATCTGATTGGATGAGCCCCAGTGATATCCGCGTATGTGTGTGGGTCTGTGTGTATGTGTGTTGTTATAGATTGTCTCTTATTGGCTGGTCTCTGTGTGGGACAAACAAACTGAAATGCGTTTAAAGGATTTCTGTTGAGACGCTGCTTCATTAGTGTGGAGCTAATCACTACCTCAAAACACATTTAATTACTGCTGTGCGGGATTAGACCCTTTTGTTTGTGCTTATCCCTATTATGGTCCTTTATTGATCAAACTTGAGACAGACAAGAAATGCTACTCAGATTTGATGTGAGAAATATAAAGCCTCAGAAAACCTCCTCTGCAAGGTTTATTTGTGCAGCACAGTTCGTACACAAAGTAATTCAAAGTGCTTTACAGAATAAGAAAGACATTAAAATCACAATACAAATGAATCAAAACATAAATAATCATCATAAAATTGGCATTAAAAGAGAAGAGAGAAGAATGTGGAATAAAAAATACATATTTATTATCATATTTTTTAGTCATAAGCACTAGGGATGTAACGATAACCGAAATATTGTGACACCGTATCGTCAAAGTTCTCACAATAATATCATGGACCATCACAATATATCGAATTACAAGTCTCTTTGCTTAAATTAAGAGTTATGGTGCAGAAATTACTAAATAAAAACAGAGGGAACTACATAGACCATGATCCTTTGCTCCATTTCAGTGTAGACTAAATACTTTTAAGTCTTAGTTCTTTAGATTAAGTCTTGTCAAGGCATTTTAAGAGGAAAAAATCACATATTAACAGTTTTGTTAGCCTCTACAGAATATCTCAATAAGTATCGTACCATGAGATATAGATTGTAAAAATATCATACTAAGAGATATAGATATATTTTTACATCCCTAATCGTCAGCTTTCCCACAATATCGCAATAAATATCGTACCGTGAGGTTCATACCATGACGATATCGTATCGTGAAATTTGAATATCGTTAAATCCCTAGTAACTAAACAGAAATGTTTTGAGCCTGGATTTCAATATAGTCAGAGTAGAAGCCTGTGTCACATGTTCAGGAAGGAAAAAACTAAAGCACAGACTCCCCATGTTTAGTCTTGACTCTGGGCACGCTGATGATTAATAGTTAAAGCTGTATTGTGTAACTTTTCTGGCGGAGAGTCCGTCAAATGCTTTTCTCCATGAAGATGTCATTCAAATCAAAATGTATTGCTTTGCTTTTTTGTTATTGCTTCATCTGGAATGTTTCACAGTACGGTATTAAACCTTTCTATCATCATGGAGACCAAACTGGACAAAGTTACAGGTCAGATCTGTGGAGAGGCGACCTCGCTCACAGTCAAAATGCTTGTTTTTCTAGGTATCTTTGAGCTACAAAACCACTTGTAATTGAATGAATGTAAGGTAGAGCCGTTTAATGTCATACTGTGTAACATTTCAGACAGAGCAATGACATATCCACCCCTCTATCCCAACCAAAAAGTTACATAGTGCAGCTTTAAAGATCCCATTTTAAGCAGACGCTGGGCTCTGTTATTGTTAGGCCCGTCACAGTAATTGCTGTATTGACTCAACGTTCAGTAAATGATAGATGGAACAATTATTTCTGAGAGTTCAATATTTATCTTGGACTTTTACTTTGTACGAGTGTGAAACTTTTTGTTATTTCTATAAACTAGAGATGGACTAATATTTCTTTCCTTTTTTTTTCATGGCCAATGCTAATTATTTAGAAGGCACAGAGAGAGATAGTCAATATTTTTGGGTTGATATTCGTTATTTACTCAAAATTATCCAATTTAAACTGACGACAGACTCACCCACAGCCTTTATTTTCTCATCACAAACCTTTAAGAGAGCTGTGTAATCACGTTTTGTGCAGATTTAAAGCCTGGAAGACCTAACTTTGCTCCCGTTTACCTCACGGCTTCTCTAGAGTTTACCTGCTCCTCAGCCTTCATCACCTCACTCCAAATACTCCTCCTCGCCGCTCATCACACCTCTTCCTCGTCCAATCAGCGCCCAGTCTGCTCAATTTAAACGCCCATCGCAGGTGAATGACATAATTATAGTTTAGTATCTATATTTTCTTCAGCTATACATCACTCTTCAACATGTGTTATCATGACAAGCCTAGTTATTGTAATGCTAATAGTTAATCGCTCCCCTGCTGTTGCCTTGCTGAGGGCATATGTCCGACAATGTGTGATGTCTGCGGTAACAATTAGGGAATAAAGCTGAAGCGACAGCACACACAAACAAACACACACATGTACACACACACGCACATGCACTATCCCTGTGTGTGTGTGAATGTGTGGAGTAGACTGTTGACTCAGTGTGGCTCAAACCTGTGAGGAGAACTGTACAACTGGATACTTTATCACTAAACAACAGCTGCTTCTGTCTCTACTGCACATTAGTTCTGCTCTGAGATCCCCTAGGACGCTGTGTACTCTGTTGTCTTACACTTGGTCACATGTCCCAGGTGTGATATAACTTTGCCAGTAAGATGAATTCTTGCGATATTTGTGAGTTAACAATTTTTTGTCAAAGTGTTTGTTTATGATAGGTCACAAGACTGACCACTAACAGGGCAGCATTGCGGTTTGTGGTAATAAGTCTGTTTTTTCCCTTTTTAATTAGATTTAACCAAAGTACTGTTTTTGGCTTGCTCTGCTGTCATGACACTTTAGCTAAATGGTGTGAAGTATTAGTTTCTTTCATAGAGAACATGTCCACATTGATGTATAAAAGTGTATTCAGAGGGCGGCACATATCAGTCTGTTGAGAGCCACGTTAGAGACACTGCAGGTAAATAGGACAATGTATTTAAAGATACTCATTTGACACTTCTCTGTAGTTTACTTACTTAATTTGTTTTCATCAAGTAATGTTTTAGGTGTTTTTATATGTAAAAATTGCCAAAATTGTGACATATAAATCTGTTTTGCTTTTGCCTTAAGCCGGGCGTACACTATGTGATTTTTGGCCCCTTTTTGAGTCGATTTTTTACTCGTGCGACTGTTTTTGTGATCAGAGTTTTGGCTTAATCATGTGTTGTGCTTCGTGTAGTATACATGGGGTAAAGAGAACCAATTAATACCTCATGACCAGCTCCCGCTTGGGAATCATCAATATCAAACCTTTTTGAAATCCAGTCGCCTCTCGTGAGGGTTTCATTCTGGTAAAGTAGTTCCATGAAATTCCTGTAAATTTTTAAACCCTGCAATTTGGTCGTACAGTTTGAGCTGAGACTGAGTGAAATGAATGAAAATATCGCACAGTGTATGTCTGGTATTAGGTGTACCTCCTTAACTGCCCAGTCAGTCCCTATGTGATTATAAACAAAGTATTATTCATATTAAACAGTGTGTACTCACAGACAGTGCACCACCGTGCGCCCGTCGCCCCCGTCGTACTGCTCCTGCCACTTGGCCAGTCTGCGCACCAGCTGCAGGATGGAGCGTTTGGACAGAGGCGTGTCCCTGTACGCCGGCCAGCCAATGAACTGGAAGTGCTGCACCAGACGATATCCGTCCTGAGGCTGCAAGGAGAGAGGACCAGAACAGAAACAGGTCAAAATCAGTGATCAAAAACATACATGGAGCTGATTCTTTTCCATTCACATTTCTCTGAGTAGTGTTGTTTGGTGCTCACAAAGTACTCTCTATAAATTTTCCCCAAATTGTTGTATCACAGGTAAAAATACAGGGCTTTACTAGGATAGCATCCACGTTGCCTAAAGGCTATACATTATTAATTCTAGTTGTGACATCTATGCCTAAAAACCTAATTTGAATTAAGATGTAGTTTGCATGTGCGTGTTCTGTGTACAAAGACATTTGAAACACTACTCTCAATGTTTAAATGCCAATTAAATCCACAAGAATGCATAATTTGTCCACTTTGAAATCTTTTTATTAGTTCTGAAGTTGTTCACAAAAATGTAAGCTTCAGATTGTTTCACTGCTGTCCTATAGTTCCCAACTGCTCATTATCTTTCTGATGGTGTATAAAAGCATGAATGAGCACACTGATGTCAGTAATCAGCTCCATTTGAAGTCACTGTGTAATGAAACAAATTGGATTGACTCTGCAAACACAACATCTTATAATGCAAATTGAATTTTGTGCCAAAGTAAATGTTTTGAATGATTCGTCCCTGCAGCAGTTGGCTTCAGCTCTGTAGATAGTGACAGCGGGCGTCCCTGTCTGTCACACTGATTTCCTCTGACGCTAACACATGCTAATGCTAATGCTCAGTGTGTGGCCTCAGGAGGAGAGAGAAACCACTGGAAAGGCTTTTGGATCAGAGCCACTAAACAAAGACGACCAGAGACGACGCTCTCGTCATTGTGATAATGTTTCATTTACTCACAATGTAACAGGCTTTCATGGGTTCTAAGTAAGAAGACGCTTTATAGTCTGTTTCCTTGTTTACTATGCAACTTTCTGGGGTAAAGTATTTATATGCTTGTGTCCATGATTATTCCTTTATCTTGAATGTTCCACAGTATGACATTAGAGGATTGTATATATTTCATGTTGCATGTGAACATGACATGTATGACATACAAATAGTTTGATTGATTGATTATATTATTACACAAAATTGACTCTTTAAGTCACGTTATAATGTTGTTAACTACTCTAAAACATACCTGGAGCTGTGTTTTGTTTCATTCACATCCTTTATTATCAGGCTGTCTACATCTCCAAAGCTCAAGAAATGCTATGTTCCACCTTGTGATGTCATGAAAGGGTCATTTTCAAGTTAACAGCTATTTTTGACCTTTATTTTCAGTAGAAATGAGCAATTTCAGACCTCAAATCATCCAAATGTTTCTAGTGAAAGTGTAGGGAGTTTAAAAACACACTGGAGCACTTCCTGTATTTCCACATGACATCACAAGGTGGAACAAAATATTTTCAGTTTGAGTGAAGAACTCAGCCTAAATATACAAGGTTTGCGCATAAAATATGTGTGAAACAACATTATAACAGATCAGAACTAGCGTGTAATATGGGCCCTTTAAAGTCATCTTTCATTTATTTCCTTCAAGGTGTTTTTATTTCTAAAAAAATATCTGAAAAATATGCACTCTTGCTGTGAGCAGAGTAACCTCACTACAGATCTGACCTGTAACTTGGCTGCATCACCTGCTTGAAAAGTTACACAGTGCATCTTTAACTGAACACTGTGCTTAATTTGAATTCCTCGAGCTACATTTTTTTCATTCCAAACAGCACCTCTTCAATTCAAATTCTTTCAGTCCTCTAACTCTGTCACTTTTTCTCTCCATTTGAGGCTTAGTGCGTCACTCAGCTCCGTGTGTGATGAGCTGTTGTGCTGCTGTCCGATATGAGCCATTTCACGCTGCACTGGTGATGTGTGTGAGAGGAGACAGAGGAGTTCACTATAACACACACACACACACACACTCCACCACCAGGCCGCTGTGAGAGAGAGGAGTCATGCCGCTCTTTATAATGAGATCAAGTCAGAGATATGGTAAAAAGAGTCAAAAGAGAGGGAAAAGAAAGGAAGAAACACTGGCCATTGGAGATAATAACATGCTATTATATCTGTTCCGGTTTTTGTCATTTAAAAACAGACTATGTATTCATATCTTATTTTCATATTACTCTATGAATGCATGACAATGGGAGTATATAAGGGATCATCTGATAAGGATTTTTTTTAGTTGCTTTAGTTGCTTCTGTCGATGATAACCATTATTTGCCGAGAGACAAACCTGATGCCCTGAGCACAAATTCGGAATGACACATGTGAACACAGAGACTAACCTTTCACACACAAGATGGATTTTCGTGATATTTGTGAGTTCACAAACTCACGAGAATCAATCATCTTGTCCCCCGCTGGTGCGATGGGGCCTGACAGGTGATGGGCGACCAATCACAGAGCAGTATTGAGCTTTGTGCGTCAATACAGACTATTTTGTTTGTGAAAACATGCAGAAGGAAAGAGCTTTGTGCATCTGTGTACAAGGAAGATGTCTGTGCTTTTCTGTCAGATGGATTTTAAAATAAGTTTTTAGGCTTGTCAGCTCTCTCAGATTGATAATGTGTAGTTAATAATAGTTAAGTTAATTCAGAGTGACACACATATCAATCTGGTGTGAGCAGTTTACACAGACTCTGAAGTAATTGAAAAATATTAGTGCCAAATATTTGCAAAATGTTCAATACCAGTACAATATTAATCTAATCTGTAAAAATCCTCAAATTTAACTAATACCGATATTGGAACCAATATATATTGCCCATCCCTAAAATGTGTCATGATGTATGTAGTTAAAAAGTGGACTCTATATGTTTGAGCCATAATCTCCTTCAACCTCCAACTGATCAATCCTTCACAAAAATAAAACTAAGCAAAATGAAAACCAAATAACCCACGAAACACTTCCAAAACCCTTTAAGAGCAGGGGCTTTTCAGTTTGTCATAGTTTCCAGTTTCGATACACTATTAAAGTTGCATGATTGTGTGTGTTCTCACCCTGGCCATGTTGCAGATCCTGAAGATGCGGTTGATGATGTCTTCGTCGATATCGGCTGAAATAAACTCCACCTGAATCGGTCCGTAACAACAGGAGCTCTTCTCAGGCCAGTACTGCATACACAACTGCACAGAGGAAGAGCATTTAGATGGATTCATTACATTGAAATGGTCAAATAATTATTAAAATGTGTAAGCTATCTTTTAATTAAACTACACAATATATACTTTTTACTTTTTAATATATGTGTGGGTGTGTGTAAATGGAAGTATCTACATCATGTCTTGAATTATTTTTTTCTTGTCTGGGCTTTTCAGCTGCTTTTTAGCACAATTTGAGATCGCACAAAATATCTACATCTGTTTCAATAATGATAATATAACAACAACTGCTACATTACATTTTGTGAGAAAATAAAATACAAAAATCTTTACTGACATTGCTCTGTCAAATTGCAAAACCAATGCTGAATCAGAAGTAAACTAGACTAGGACCAACCATGTCTAAACCAGGACTAAACCAGAATTAAACTGGGTCTAAACCAGGACTAAACCACCCAAAAAAATACATTGTACAAAATTTTAATTAAAGACACCTATATTGCGCCATTTTCAGATTTGTTATAATGTTCCTCATCAAAAACATACCTGGAATTTTGTTTTGTTCCCTTCACACGTTTAACACACAAATTCTGCATAGAGTTTTTCTCTCAAACAGGAAACACTCTGTTCCACCTTGTGATGTCATGTGGTAAAACAGATAAAACAGATAAACACACAACTCCACTGCGTTTATAAACTCCATACACCTTCACTAGAATCATTTGGATGATTTCAGCCCTGGAATGGCCAATCTCTCCTAAACAAAAGGTAAAAGGGAGCTGCTAACTTGAAAAATACCACTGCATTACATCACAAGGTGGAACAGAGCATTTTGAGCATTTTGAGCTTTGGGGATATAGACAGTCTAATAATAAAAGATTACTCAAACTAATGTTAGAATGAAACAAACTCGACTTTCGGAATGTTTTTGAGGAGGTAACAGCATTATAACACAGCTTAAAGCTCACAAGAATAAATATTGTGTATTTTTTAACCTTTAAATGCTTAAATAAATACTGAAATTTCCCAGACATTCACTGTTCACTGTTGTGCTTCTTCCCTTCAGTCTGACACTGTGCTGGTGCTGCCAGAGGAACACTATAAATAAAGCCTCCTGAGTAATGGAGACATGGACAGACTCATTCATAAAGCAGTCCACAGAGTCTCCTCCCCCCTCGCGTTACAGACTCCAAATGCTCCGGAGCTTTCCTCAAGTTCAAAAGGAGAAAGGACAGTCATCTAAAGTGAGTTTGTACCTGTGCCGCATCCATCTCATTCAGCATGACAATAGACGAGCAGTTATAGTCAAACACCAGCCTCCAGAAGTCTGCCATCGTGTTTGGCAAAGGATGCTGGGTAACGATGAAGGCCGCGGGCTGCTTATGGCTCTGAAAGAAGGGATCACATAAATACGGGTGTGTTTATTTTGAAAAGAGAAACTACTACTGCAGTCAGGATAATAACATTTCAGACTCAATACTAAGGAACAGACTTCATACTCAATACCGACTCTGATACCACAATAATAGTAACAAAAAACACTCTTTATTCAGACAATAGAATGTGATTTTCAACATTAAATTATAGTACTTTCTCTTATATTACCGTGTGACCTTATATCTGTGTAATCCCTCAGTTTCCCAGGTAGATAAAGTATGTGCTCTTATACTTGTTCTGTCTTGTGAATGACTTTTTTTTTTAGTATCGATACTTCCTCAAATGAGTATCTAGTTTCGATACTCATCAATTACTATCTGATTCTGGATACTTTTCACAACCCTGCAAACTACAGTCATGAATGCGTGTACTGAAAATGTGGAAAGTCAAAAAGTAAAGAGAACGAAATGAAAAAGAACTAGTTTTGCAGATCTAATACAATTTGTAAAGCTAATCTGGATCTAAACATTGACTTAGAAAAACTTTATTGATCCACAAGAGAAATTACAAGAGACACAGCAGCTCACACATCGCAATACATATGATAATAAAGTGCAAAAATATAAATGGTAATAATAAATTCAAAATAAGTAACAAAAATAACAAGACTGATGACAAAAAAAGCATAATTATATAAATGTATATGTTCATGTAACAATAACATTAAAAAATGTGGGTGATTATGTATCTACTGGGTAACAACAAGGTAAATAAGAGAAGTTACGTGGTACCTAAGATTTAAAAATAATGGTAACTACAAAGTAAATAAGTAATTACCTAGAAAAACTTCAAGTAATACAAATATTATATCTCAGCTATATACAATAGGGGTATGCAACAATATTGAAATATCTTTATATTGCGCTACTAAATTAGTTTACTGTGGGCTGCTGTATCGGTATAATATTTTATAGTATTTTTTGTTATCTTGAAGTAATGTTTTTTTGTGACCGTACTACAATTTTGTTGCTTATCTAGTGGAAGTATATTTGTTTATGCAATACACTTGATATATTCACTGTTTTGATGATTAATATAAGTGTATTTCATATTAATTTTGCACAAGTAGCAGTTTAACAAATGTTAAAATGTTGCTAAAATGTATTTGGTTTTTAAAAAACAGGTATGAATCGCAATCAAGTCTCATGTGTAATATATAAATTCTTGTATGTATGGCCATATTGTGATAATATTATAACGTGAGATGTGTATTTTATCAAATCATGAGGGACCCTGTGATTACCAGCCCTAATATACAAGAGGTTATAAAAGTAGTGACTGACAGGACATTGGGTTATCTAGTACATAAGTATGAGTTGTGTTACAGTTGTATGGGGTACAAAGAGTCACTTACGTCCATTAGAGCAGCGTTGATGTAGTTGGAGCTTTCTCCGTCGACTGATATGAGGAAGGGCAGGCAGCGGTCTGCGGACAGCACGTCCATGCTGCGGTTTTTATCGTGATTCCTTGGTAACAAACCCACACTGCAGTCTTCGGGGCGTACTCTAGGTGTCACTATGTTCAAGGTCTGAAAAGCAAAAGAACAGAAGAAGTTAAAGTGGGAATACAAACCAAAACTGTCCACAACCACGGGCCCATCAGAAATTGTTTACATGTGCTTTGGTGGTTATTTTCCTTATCACTGATCTGGGTACCTATGACAACGTCAATCCAGATTGGAATTGGGACTTTCTCTTTAACTTTCTCAGTTTTCTGTATTGATTTATCTGTAAACTCAGTGCATTATTATGTATTATTATCTGCATCAACTTAAGTTTTTGCCAGTTTTGTTATTGTCTTACTTATTCCTCCTTGGTCTTTATAGTTGACCTCATGATATAGTGTTCAAAGGCCAGCGAAAAGGAAAAGGAAGGAGAAAAAAGGAGGTATTTTTACCCAATTTCAGATGGGGCCAACATCTGAAATTTTACCTAGTTTGCTCTAAAACTGAAAAGAAGTCTGGGAACAGTGGTATTCAAACATCATATACAGTTTAGCAGCAAAAGAAAAAAAAGTTTATTTAGTGTTTAGTTCCACTTTAAAATCATTCATTTTCTTCATAATGCTAAACAGACATGATATATAGTAAAAAGGGAAATGTTTCTGACCTGGAACTCATCTTTGATTTGGCTGGAGTTGGTCTGAGGGTCTATTCTGCTGATGTTGTAGTAAACAGCTCTGAACTCACACACTGGGATGGCTGTGTTTCCACAGAGACAGGCCTCCAAGATGGCGTCGTGGACAAATACATACTGCTCCTGCAAATAAGACTCCATTAAAAAAAAAAAACACATCGAATTGCCTCGTGTGTGTTCCTCTGTGTTGTTATTCTTATTTATTTTATATTAATTGTTTATTTGAATAGAGACAGATATAAGAAACACAGATTAAAAGTCCTATATTACACAAAACTGACTCTTGTAAGCTTTAAGCCATGTTGTAATGTTGTTACCTCCTCAAACCATACCTAGAGTGTGTTTAGTTTCATTCACACGTTTGAGTAATCCTTTATTATTAGTCCTTTTACATCTCCAAAGCTCAAAAGGTCCCACCTTGAAGCAGTAATTTTCAAGCTACCTTTTACCCTCAGTTCAATCGAAATAGGCAAATCCAGGGCTGAAATAATCCAAATGACTCTAGAGAAGGTGTATGGCTTTTAAAAACACAGTGGAGCCACATGAGATCCCAAGGTGCAACAGTGTCTTAATGTTTAAGGCTACGTCCATATAACAACGCTCCTGGATTTTTTCTTTTACGGGCTGAAAAAAATTTGCGTCCACACACGTGTCAGATCAATAAATATTCACAGCCAGATGACAACGGAGCACTGACTGAAAACGATGTAATACACATGCCACACCTGTATGCGGCGCTGTTAACAATGATAATAATATTTAATAATGCAGTTCTCATCACCGTTTATTTAATTAAAAAAAACAAACTTTAAGGTAATTTTTCGGTTTTAGCCATAAGATTTGGATCAGAATAATTAGAATAACTTGGTCTCAAAACCCAACATTTTAATTAATTGTGCATAATCTTTATTACTGATCCGTGAGCATAATCAGTGGTGCGTGTTGTTAGCATTAGCACTAGCAGCGTGTCTCGGTTGCGCGGTAATGGGAGCGGCTTTGTAGGCTACACCTCTCCCATTTCGGCAATGCTCTTACAGTCTACGTCATCGTTTTCCAAAAGCTGAGGTTTCTTTGTCCACATGACAACACAAAGCCTGCCTTTTCAGATTTCTCCAGTGTGGGACGCATTCTCAAAAAAAAAAAAAAAAGTTTTCGCCCGCCCAAAACGCCGGCTCCGTGTGGACAAAAGAACAAAGTGAATAAAAACTTCACCATTTCCACCAAAAAACAAAGAACTCAGCCTAAACATGCAGGGTTTGTGTGTTAAATATCTGTGAATGAAACAAAACACAAGTCCAGGTATGTTTTTGATGAGGAGGAAACAACATTATAATCAATCAGAAAATAGTGTAATATAGGCCCTTTAACAATAAAGTGATCTAATGTGGGTATAACAGAGTTTATAGTCTAGGCTAATTTGCAAAACCAGTCCCCAGAAGGGCTTTTATCACTTCAGATTTCACTGAAAAGCAAACATTATAAACAAAACTGCAGATATAATGAACTTGCCAAGAGAATCAAAAAATATCTAAAAAATAATATTATAATATGTGTAATATGTGTATAAATACCCCCCTCTGTCCCTTAAGCCGTCCACATACTCTCACTATATCACATACACACAGTTTACTTTGACTATTACTGTTAGAAGCTCTTCAGTCCAATTATATCCAGATGGAGTGTTTGGCTTCGTTTTTCTCCTCCACAGCCTCATTAGTGCGCCTCTTGCTTTTATCGGTTAACATTTATTTACTTGTCAGTGCCCTGCTGTGGGCTGAATGCCATTTGTTGTCTGTGGGGCGGAGAGCGGGGTTAAAAAGCTCCTATGACTGATTCTGGTCATTAGACACTTCAGTGGAATACCAAACAGAGAAAGATTCCTCTTGTGAACAGTAAGTCGATTTTAAAGATGCACTGTGGAACTTTTTGGATGGGGGTCCGTCACCTGCGTGTTCCTATAGATACATCACTCTGGCTGGAATGTTCCACAGTATGACACTAAACAGCTCTACTTTACATTTATTCAATTACAGGTGGTTTTCTGACTGTGAGCAGGGTCGCCTCTCCACAGATCTGACCTGTAAGCCGTGGAACATTCCAGACAAAGCAATAACATCTTCATGGAGAAAAGCATTTGTTGGGCCCTCCATCAGAAAAGTTACACAATGCAATATTAAAAAAAATAAAAATAAAAAATGTAGTAGTATAATAGTATGGTAGTCAGAGGTGGGTAGAGTAGCCAAAAATTGTACTCAAGTAAAAGCAATATTACTGGAAAATATTATTACTCTAGTAGTAGGAAGTAAAAGTTCAAGAAATTACTTAAGTAGGAGTAAAGAAGTATTTGTGAACATTACTGCATAAGTAAGAGTAACTTTAACAGTAACTGACAGGACGTAACATCTGATTTATAATTTGAAGTGAAATGTAATTGGATAAAACATTAAATAATGCACAAAATCTACTATTTTAGTTACTTATCTATTTAGTCTAACAACAAAGGTGGGTAGAGTAGCCAAAAAATGGACTTAAATGAAGTTAATGTTACTTCAGAATAATATTACTCTAGTAGAAGTACAAGGTAGTGGTCTAAAAAACTACTCAAGTAAGAGCAACTTAAATAGTAACTGTCTGGACAAAATCTGATTTATAATTTGAAGTGAACAAAATCACAATTTGAAGTGAACAAAATCAGGTTATTTCAAAAGATAGACACAAAATTGAATCATATCTGAAGGAGTAGTGCAAAAACCGCAACATGTTCAAATAATTTCATATTGTCAACATAAAGATTTTGTTACTTGTAGACTTGCTCACAGTGGGAAGAGAAAGTTTTACTCAAGTTAAACTTAGTGTTACTTCAATAAACTCAAGTAGGGGTAAAAGTATGCTGCTGAAAAGTACAATTTCTTTCAAAAAGTTACAGTAACCACCTCTGACAGTAGTATAGTATAACAGGATACAGCTATTTGGAGTCAGTTCACTCACCTCAGTCTGCACCATGTTGACCCTCTGTGACCTCAGCTCTCGAATACAGTTAAAAATATCCACCACGCCTTCGTTCTCTGCCATGTCCAACATAATGTCCACCGCGATGAAGCAGCCTGTCCGCCCCGCTCCGGCACTGCACAAACACACACAGAATACAGTTTCAACGGGCTCGCTGCATTCACCCACATACAACATACAGGTTCACCAACCTGCAACACAAATCTTTAGCAGTTTAATACGCTACAAAATTCTTACCTGACCAATGTATAATTCAAAGAAAATGAAGACACTTTATTCATGGATTTTAACTTCCTGTTTATAGCCTCAGTTTTACTTTTCACCATTCAAAAAATATAATATTGTTTCGAATTGTTAAAAATTTTCATCACTCTGAAATCTGTGGAAGCAAAACAACACTTTGGAAATAAAAAAGAAACAAAAAAACAGACCCTAAACCTTCTGAAGCCTAGATATTATTTATTTATTTTTACAAATGTACATAGAAATGCTAAGGGATGTTTAGAGAGTTTTATAGGGAAGTGGATCTTGGGGATCTCGCCCAGGATTTTTGCCAAGAAAAATCAAGTCTTATTTCTTGTAATTTAGTGCATTTTAGATAAAGGATGGTGCTGTTTGTCATCAGCTGAAGCTCTGCTGTGCTGCTCTGCTCCATCAGTCCTCCTCACTGTGTCCCTGTCCACAAATGAAATCCATGTGTTAACCTTTACAAAGTGGCCAACGGGACAAAAATTCAGAGCTTTTATTCTTGAAATGTTCTTCAGCTTCACGATAAGACATAAGTGGCAGTTTTAAGGTCCCCACGGTGACGGTGTATTTAACCTCATGTTCTGCTCTTGATGGGATGTAAGACTTCTCTCTGGGGCCAGGTTCTCAGCAGACGGGAGCTTTAAAAGGTCAGCACTTCGACAAGACATAAAAAGTGATTGGAGCAGATTAGTGACACTGGGGGAAAATATTCCATTTGTAACCGAATGGTCCCACAATTCAGTATAACGCTTTACTGACGAATTCCTCCTTTTCCATTTGTGATTAAAGTGGGAATAAATACCTAAACTCCTCCCACACCTACATTTCAAATAGAGCTGCTAAACTGGATAGTACCTGGGCGACTAAAGAAGAGAGTAAGAGGAGGAGGAGGGGCAGGTCTGGAGGTATAAGGAACAGTGTGATTGGTCTGACAGGTATCCACATTTCAAAGTCCGCTCTTGCAGCCAGGTCTTTGTTTCAGAAATACTGTAATCAGGGCACTATACGGGACTATAAATCGGGATGAGGGGGTTTTTTTACTCTCACACACCTGGGATACTGTCCTGAGGAAGTCGGACTGCAGATGGCGCTGTCGTCCTGCCTCCACCGGTAGGAAGACAGCGCCAAAACCTGTATAAATCAGCTGACCAGACACGTCACAGCAACATGACGTGACCACTCTGAGGAAGACCACTATTGAGCAGTCGGTCTGAAAATAGAACCTAATAATATACAAATCGGAAGACCAAATGAACCTCACTGGACTGTAATGAGGGCAGTCTCTTGTGATGTCACCAACTACTTGAAATCGCAGAGGTCACTAAAGGCAAAACAACTTTGATTGAATTATTTTCATTTTCAGAAAGCAACAAATTTACCTACTTTGCACTAAAGTTGCTAGGAACAGACAATGACTCACCATACACCAGACCTGGGCATTGTGCAGCTCCAGAGCCACATACGGCCCTTTGTTTGACTCTGACCAGCCCATTTAAGATAATTTGGAATCACAAAATAAACATATTTTATAATTTTACATCATGCATGGACTAAAATGCATTGCTTTTATTTTCAAGGTGTTTTATTTTATTTTTTTTATGAGGCAACCTAATTTTTTCATTGGTTAGTCATAACATAAACATTTACCAGTCTTATACAGCTTATCAAAACAATCCTATTTACTGCTTTTTATTAAAAAATATATTATTAATATTATGCAGAATTGAGTTAAGCATTTTCTGTTTCTCATTTGACCTTATGGAAAAAAAGAATTGCCCACCCCTGATACAGTCAAGCAGCGAAAAAAAAAAAAAAACGAAAAAATGGTTTTAGTGTTTATTTCCACTTCAGTTTGTCCAGAATAAATATTTTGTGTTCAAATGAAATGTTTACTAAGTGAAGTTTTACTTTGGTTTCTAATACAAGCTATACGTGTGTGTAAATTGACTTCTCCAAAACAATCTTTCCTCCACTACAGATGTAAACAGGTTTCAAATTGTTCACCGTGTCAATAAACGTGGGTCCAGACTTGTTGGTAGCGACGATATTGGATAGAGTGATGTAGAGCGGCCAGTAAACAGACAGACAGCTCAGAGGAAAACTACAACAGTCACTTGTGATTTGGGGGCGCTTTCTGACGTCTTTGGCCCATGTCACAGGCTTCACCCACACAGCCTCACTCACACAAGGGGCCGTGCAGCTCTCAGCATTCATCATGAAGCTGACAGCTAATCTCCTCTCTCTCTCTCCTGGTGTCTTTGGGAAAAACGTCTGGGGAATTACAAAGTGAACGATGGCTCCTCCCTCTCTGTCCTCCTCCTCTTTTCCATCCCTCCATCCGTGGCCTGATCTCTCCCCCGTGACACCCACCGCTGCTCCAATGTTTCCTCCACCTTCACAAGGGCTTATCTTCACTTTCAAGCTAATGCTGTCAAAGGTTTGGCAACGCAAGTTTCATCCTTGTTGCAGGAATCAAAGCTGAACATGCTGCTAAACTGGGCACTGCCCGGAAGACGAAAGAGGACAGTGTGTGTCATCCCGATAGGTCCCATTGCGAAATAAAATGCAATTCTGTCAACTGGCCAAAGGATTTTGTGAATAGTGAAAACATTTCACCACTGTTCCAAGTAGCTTCTTCAGTTCTGACAGGGATCTGAAAGTCACTAAGGCTAAAACGAATCACCGTATCATCGTATCGGAAACGATTTACGTCCAGACACGTCGTTTCTTTGTCAGCAAGCCTTCCCTATCCACACAGGTTTAAGCATATTTGTTTATGTTTTACAGAAACTAAACTTAAAACTGCATGGCTAATTTGCCTAAACTGAGCACTTAAAAAACAGCTTGTTATTGTACGCTGTTTTTTGATTGAATGCTTGAAAATGTCAGCTTCTGTTGGACTAAAGGACACGACTCAGTGGTGTGTATGAGTGTTCTTCTGTGACAGAGGGGTTTTCTGCTGATGGTGAGTCTGTTTTGTGCTTCTATCGCGTTGGAGATGGTTCATGTTAAACTTTTCAGAGATTATACGTATAGGCTGTATGTATGAATATACATATATTCTAGCCTCTTAGTGTTTTGGCGGTGAATTACTTTGCGGTGCATAGATCTACGTCAGCGTATCAGCGTTTTCAGGTGTCCACACAGTGCCAGATCAGATCCTTAATCAGATGAATTCGTGGGAGCTGGCGGCACCAGATCGTTCCTTCTCTGGAGCTGTTTTCCATCGGATTAGTGTGCACAAACACTGCATCAACAACAAAAACAACTCGAATAGGTACTAGAGTATGTATTAACTGCCTTAAATATGTATTGCACAACTTTTCTGGTGGAGACTTTGTCACTTGCTCGTCACCAAGGAGATGTTATTGCTTTGCCTGGAATGTTCCATGGTATGACATTAAACACATCTATCTAGGTTTCATTTATTACAGCTGTTTCTTTTGCTCAAAAATGCAATAATTATCTCTGTGAATAGGGTTGCCTCTCCACTCTCCACAGATCTGACCTATAATGTAGCCTAGACATAACACTAACATCTCCACAAAGACAAACAGATGGTGGACCCTCCCCTAATAAAGTTACTGAATTGTAGGAGATAACTACAGTGAAACTAACACACCCCAGTTGTATAAAGTAAGAAGTATTTGTTATTAGTCAAGTACACTGAACCACCCAAAGGTGTGAACTGTCTCTTGGGTGACAGGTTGTACTTTAGCTCCCCATTTCTGCTCAGAGATGTATTGTCTTTCCTGACAAATATAGCCTCTTTGACCCCTCTCTTTGGCAGGAAAGACAATCTATCTCTGAACTGAAATAGGGGTCGAAGGTACAACCTCCCATTGACAACTCCATCCTCAGACCCAAACCAAAACAAAGAAAACAAATAGATAGATGCTCATGACAGCAGACAGGTTAAAGGAAAATTTGTTGAAAAATTATGCAAAATATGACTCAATTTCACACCTTTAGGTAGTTCGATAGACTTAACTAATAACACATACTCATTACTGTTAACAGCTAAGGTGTAGTTTCAGTGTTAGCTCCTCCTTTCAGACAAATTTAAGGCAGTGTCTTACCAGAACCCTGTCAGAACTGAAGAAGCTACATGGATGATAGTGTATTAACTCAATGTCAGATAATAAAATCAAGTGTGCTGTTTTAAAATAAAGATTTAATCATTTGTGGCTTTTATCTAAAGTTAAACTTTTTTTTATCTTTTAAACGTTTTGAACAAGTTATGCACACTTTTATTTCATCACGCCTGGACTACTGTAATGCACTTTATTCCGGCATCTCACAAAACAAACTTTACTGACTACAGTTAGTCCAAAACTCTGCGGTGCGACTTTTAACAGGAACCAAAAGAAGAGAGCACATTACCCCAATCCTTGCATCTTTGTAGTGGCTTCCTGTTCATTTTAGAATTGATTTTAAGATTTTACTGTTTGTTTTTAAAGCTTCGACTGGACTGGCCCCACAGAACGTCTCCGACCTCATCCAAATTTACATCCCCGTGTGCGCTCTGAGGTCCGAGGGCCAGCTCCAGTGCTTGGTGCCTAAGACAAGACTTCAAACCAGGGGGGACCAGGCCTTCTCTGTGGCCGGCCCCAAACTCAGGAACGCTCTGCCCCACGTCCAAACAGCCCCCACAGTGGAGAGTTTTAAGTCTCATCTTAAAACCTACTTTTATTCTCTGGCTTTTAACACCGTGTGAGTTGTGTGGTCGTCTGAGTCTTGTATTTATTTATTTAATTAACTTTTACTGTATTTTATTGGTTTTATTTATTTATTGCTATTCTATGATTTTGCACTTATTTTATTTTACTTTTTTATTATTTCAAGATGTGTGATTAGATCTGAGTTTTTTAAATTTAAAATTTTATCATTTTATTATTGTTGTTATTATTTATTTGTGCAGCACTTTGGAAACTGTTTGTGCAATGTGCTATATAAATAAAGTGGATTGGATAATAGCAACTGAAAATAAAATAAAATATATTCTATAACAAATAAAATAATAAAATAAAATCAGTATTAAAGGTGCACTGTGTAACTTGTGAGCTGAAAAATCTGTCACAGGCTTTCTACATAGAGGTGTTGAGAACCCCTCCAGAAAAGTTTCACAATGCACCTTTAATTCCATATACAGTAGAGTATTTCGTGTCCAGGCTTGACCAACAGATGACAGTGTTTTGAGACCGTTGCTCTCACCTGCAGTGCACCACTATGGGCCCAGCGTCCGGAGGGTTCAGGAACTTGACCTGTCGGATGAATCCCAACAGTCCAGTGGCGTAGCAGGGAACGCCGTGATCGGGCCAACTGGTGAAGTGGAACTGCCTCAGCTCCCGGATCTCGTGATGACCCTTCTGTAAGACACACACAGAGGGAAAATATTATAAAACATGTCACACGGAATTAGGGAATCGATACCTGATCCACTAGGTATGTGTCCCTGTTTTCCGATACTTATCCGATACTTCTGTTAGTCACTTTGAAAAAACAAACATTATTTTATCAGCTCAACGTAAAACCTCCTCAAAAAACATACTAGAGGTTATGTTTTGTTTCATTCTCACATGTTTGAGCAACATTTTATTATTAGTCTGTCTACATCTCCAAAGCTCTTAATGCTTCGTTCCACCTTGTGATGTCATGAAGCAATTAGCAGCTACCTTTTACCTTTAGTTCAGTAGAGATTTAACAAACCCAGGTCTGAAATGATCAAAATGATTCTAGTGAAGGTGTATGGAGTTTAAAACACAGTGAAGCACTTCCTGTATCACCACATGACATCAAAAGGTGCTTGAGATGTTTGAGAGAAGAACTCCGCCCAAATATGGAAAGTTTGTGCATTAAACATGTGTGAATGAAACAAAACACAACTCTATGTATGTTTGACATTATAACATAGATCAAAAATAAGTTTAATATACACCCTTTAATCTTATTGGAAGTTTTAATAACACATTGAAGCAATTTTAAGGAAAGTAAATGCACATCAGTACAAGGTTATGGGCAGTTACTCAAAGCCTAAGTATTGATATAGATATTGGAACTGAAAAAAAGCTGAATTGGTACACTTCATTTACAAAAAAATAAAATAAAATAAACAAAAACAAAATGAAAAGAGTGCTGAGTAAAGGGAGAGTGGGTATCATTGGACAATTTAACAGTTTGACGCTGAATCTTGCTGGAGCAATGTCATGACAGCCTTGGGCCACAACAAAACCTTTATCTCTGACATATTTCACGGGGCTTCCACCTGGCTTTAAAGTTCCCCAAACTTTTCACCAACCCTGAACGCACCATAAGCTCTGAGTGACCCTTTCTTATACCATATCTCTGAGGTCTCCATAGCGATGCATTGAATAATTCACACTTATTGATCGCTTGATTCTGTAGCAGCTAAACAGAGCTTTGGTGGAAGAGTGCGCGTCCTTCTCTGCTCACTTTGCTCCAGGAATAGACCTCAGAGACACTGCTGTTCTCACAAATGTAATTCAAGACTGAGGCTGGATTCAATTGTTGCTTTAGCCTCCAAAACAGGGTCAGGAGATGGAGAGTGGAGGAGGAGGAGGAAAAAAGGAGAAACAGGGGAAACAGGTAGAGTGATAGAGTGAACCTGGGCACAAAAGCAAGGGAAATACAAAATGGAAAACTACAAGTGCTACTACCGTTTGAGCCAGGGCTTATTGTACGGCTTTCTGATGTTAAAATCTCTGGATCAATAGCTTTTACAGTTCAGATGAGACCTCAGTATAAACGCAGGTCATGGAAAATAAATGGCTTACATAGATACCGTACCTGCCTGTCACTATACTGAATTTATACAAGAATCACACATAGAGTAGAGTTTGTCCTATTTTAAATTTCTATGGTTGGGGGAGGCTCCAGCGTATGACAAAAAATGTAAAAAGTGTAACCAAATTTTCAGGTGCCACCTCAGTTGCTTTTAGTGGTTCATAAGTACTCACTAATAACATTGTAGGAAATAGATGCCTTTCAAACTTCAGTAACTTGAGTATAATGTGAAAAGACATATTTAAAAGGAAAAATATTATGTAAAATAGACTTTTGAGCTTTGAATCGTGTTATAATGTTGTCCCATTATCATCATCTTACTCAGTTATATTTCAATTGATACGTGCATGTTTGAGTAACCCTGTATTGTCCTACAACTGAGGCTTGAGTGCTCAGAAAATTGCTGTTTTCACCTAATCCCTAGCTCTGCTCACTTCTCTGTACTTTATTAAACTACACGGTCTAAAGAAGTGGACTGAGGGAGTGTGGCGTCAACTATAGTGTTCGGCTGCAGTCAAATGAAGCTCACAGAGGTTTGCAGTTATAAAGTTATCGGAAATTTGGAGTCGAGTTCCAGATTAGGAATAGGAATCTAATACGAGACAAAACTGCAAAATAAAAACACCAAGATCACGCAGAAAGGGTTAATATGAACATTTTAAGACCAGAACGACGTGGCTCAGTAAAACAGTTACAGACAGAGGGGGGACAGTTTTTCAATGTAAAGTCAATTGGAGCCAGTGTCGATGGAGCCAAAAGCGCCCCCATGTTCACTTCCTATCTGGAACGAGGCCGGTAGAGGGTTTGCTATGTTCATTTATAGTCCATTTTCATTACTTAAAAAAAAAAATAAAAAATTGAAAAAGTTTTTTAACAGCGAGTGTCATAAATTTGTGACAGACCTTTTGGATCAAGATAGAACCTGAGATAGCACCTGCATACCAAAGCTGGTTTGTGCATAGGCAGAATGACAAGCTCTTGTTTCTAGTTGTCGCATATTTACAACATACCCACATTTCAAGTTTTTTTTTTTCCCTATAGTCAAATTAATAATGTCAACTTAATTTTTTTTATACACATCTATATAAATTCAGGTGGTTAAATAGTACTTTTTCACTTTCAAGCCACTCAAAGCACTTTTACATCAAGGAACCACTCGCCCATTCACACACGTTCACACACCAGTGTACGCAGGCACTGAGGGCGAGATGGGTTAAGTGTCTTACCCAAGGACACAAAACAGCATTCATTAGTGAGAGCTACAATCGCACCACCAAACTATGGGTCAGTAGATAGGACCGCTCTTCCAATAATGTTTATGTTGAGAGCGGGATTCGAAAAGCCAACTTTCAGATCAGTGGGCAAACGCTACACCAACAAAAAAATAAGCGTAATATGTTTTCTTAAAAGTGCACTGTGTAACTTTTTTTCCATGGAGACTTTATTTCTCTGCCTGAAATGTTTCACAGTAGCATTAAACTTATCTATCTTGCATTTATTCAATCCCAGGTGTTTTTATTTGTCAAAAAGCATGAGCACGTTCGTCCTCTCTACAGATCTGACGTGTAACTTTGCTTGGTTGTGTCACTTTTAATGCAATACTGTGGAATATTCTGGACCCTCCACCTTGCAGGTTAAAGTTCTCATGTGTCAGATCATTAGTAAAGTCTGCTTGGATTTTTTCAGTACAACTTTATTAAACATTAAAAGAAACTCTTAACTCTTGAGACCCAAACGTAGTATTTTCCTGTCGATCAACCACCAGTCTGCACTTGCACAAAGGGGTTCTTGTACCATTCACACATACCCTAGTTAATTTAAGCTGTTCAAGTATTACCTCCCCTTTTAAGTCCGTAGCTCTTTCATTAGCATCGGAGCATTTAGTGAAGTGACAGATGAGCTGCTCCTCTGAATGTGAGACACTGAACGCAGAGGTGCACTGGATTCATGTCTTTCTAAAACTACTGCAGTTTCAAACATGTCTTCGTAAGCTGCTTTAGCTCCACAGAAGAGAGGGGGAGGAAGGAGAGGGAGGAAGAGGAGGAGGAGGGGGGTGAGGAGGGAGAGGTAAGAAAAGGAGCTGACATAAGGAGCTTAGAAAAATTGAGGTGTGAAGAGAGAGTGGATTCGGTCATAAAAGTGTATTAATGCAGGTAAAAGTGCATACTGTAGTGTTTTTTTGCTTCTGTCAACTAGGGCTGAGCGATTTCGGAAAAAAAATATCTAATTGCAATTTTCCTGACAAGCATTATGAAGATTGGATTAAGTTCAAAGTTAGCGTTTTATACACGTCAAGAAGCATTAACATATGAGCAAAGACTAAAATCTGAACAGATGCTGAAACTAATACAAAGATCTCATTTCAGAATATGTTTGTAGAAATCTAAATTACAAGGCTATTGTTACTTTTTTATTCATAACATAATAATTTCTCATTTGCAAAGGATATTATGCTAGTTAAATAATCGCAGTCCTTGCAATTAACTAATTTCATGACTATCAAAATTGCAGTTTTGTTGTATCTTGCAGCCCTATGTCAACTACACATTACTACTTCCAGATTCAGTCCTGTCCCTCAAATATCCCCTCTAGGGCTGGAGTCCTTTAATCATTTAGTCAATTAATTTATGTCTTAGTCGACCAAAACTTAGACTGGTTAATGGACATTTTTTAATATAGTTTTTTCCCCACCTTCAAGGCACTTAAAGCGCTTTACAACAAGGAAACACTCGCCCATTCACACACACTTTCATACACCAGTGTTCGCAGACACCAGGAGTGACGTGGGTTAAGTGTCTTGCCCAAGGACAGAACACAGACTGTATTCATCTGTGGGAGCCAGCCAACCTGTGGGTCAGTGGATCTCACCGCTCAACCAATTAAGTTTATGTCGACAGCAGGAATCAAACCGCTATGCTTCGGATCAGTGGACAAATGCTCTTACCAACTGAGCTACTGCTGCCCTGATATTGGTCATTTGACGATTAGTAGTTAGTATTCGTTTAAGGATCAGTAGTAGATTAGTAGTAGGATTAGTTTAAGGTTTTTTATTTTATTTTTTCATGGGACAACTGAAGAGTAGCTGGAGAATATCTAGTGTGAGTCAGCTAATGATTTAAAGGGCTCAAATGTTATTATGTTGTTTCCTCATCAAAAACAGACCTGGAGTTGGGTTTTGTTTCCTTAACACATTTAACACACAAACCCTGAATATTCTCTCAAATAGAAAATACTTTGGTCTACCTCGTGATGTCATGCCGTAATACAGGACGTGCACCGCTCCACTCTCTACTGAACTAAAGGTAAAAGGCAGCTGTTAACTCAAAAACTACAGTTTCATGAGAGCACAAGGTCGAACAGAACATTCATATCTTTGGAGATGTAATCAGACTAATAATAAATGATTAAAAATAAACATGTGAATGAAACAAAACATGACTCTGGGTGTGCTTTTGATAAGGAAATTACATAATAACATGGCCTAAAGCTCACAAGAGTCAATTTTGTGTAATATAGAATCAAGTACATTTTAGTTTAAATGGTTAAATTTGCATGAACTGTGTACATTATGGGTCAGATCATAATAGTTTTGATATTTATTGCCTCCAATTAGTCTCCTTTTAGTAGACTAATTGGTCAACAAGTCATCTCTTTAATCGACTAATCATGTTTTTTTTGTCAACTACAGCCCAAGTCTCCCTGACAGAATCTGTAAAGGAATAATAAACATAAAGTTAATAAAGTTTTACCTTTTGTACAGAGAACGTGCGTATGACGTATTCAGCCAGTGGTTCAGTTTCAATCAGAGTGACTTTAATGTCCCCATACACCTCCGTCTCATCGGGCCAGTAGCGCACGCATTTGACCTAGAAAATACAACAAAGATTCAGTATTTTTTTCTAGTAAAAACAATACAAACAACTAAATTTAACATGATGTTCAAAAATATAGCATGGTATAAATGATGTGAACATTTTCTGCTCGTTTTCCCATAGAAAAAAAACGACAAATCCTCTTTAAAACTCTTTCTTTTCGGCTTCTTCCCTCCACTCACGAGTTCTAATCCCCGGTTCGGTTGACTCACCCGTCCCACCTCCACCAGGTTGGTTACCATGACGATGGAGGCGGAGTTCTCCTGCCAAACCATCCTCCAGAAATCCCTCACCGTCTCCTGCATGGGCCCTGGAGACACACATATATTTTAATACGTACAAGAAGTGGGAGGTATAGAAAAATAGATCACATCCCAGTGGCTGTTTTGGAGCTAAAAGGGTACTGTCTAATGTACAGTTTAAGCAGATTACAACTTGAATATTAAGGTCACGGTCTTAAAATACTAAAATTAAACACAAAGAGAATACATAACAATTTTAACAAGGTGATATTTTTGAACTTTTGTGGTTTATTTTACAGTCTATTCTTATTCTGTGCAATATTTGAACCTAAACCACACCATTATAGGCTTGAAAAACTGTTTCAAGAATCAGGCTTAATTCCTTATTTAAGTAGTTATCAAGCCTGAATCATTCTTAATAAACATGCTTTTCATCAGGAATTAAGTCTTTGTTCACGCTGTTTTAAGGTTGTAACATTATTATTATTATTATCATTTCAGATTTCATAATTTCATTTATTTTTCTTTATCCTCTTACTACATACATACATACATACTAGAGGTGTAACGATATCCAAGTCTCATGATACGATATCGTCACGGTATGAATCTCACAGTACGATATTTATTGCGTGAATCGTGGGAAAGCTCACGATATAGTTGGGAGGCTCACAATATTACGATATTATACATAATAACTAGACTAAAATGCTTTGACCAGTCATTTTGTACAACATTTATTGTCATATTCTAGGGATGTGACAATATCCAAATCTCTCGGTATAATATTATCACGATATGCATCTCACGGTACGATATTTATTGCGATATTTTGAAGGGGCTAATAATTAAAGATGGGACACTTTTTGCTTTTAAAATACCTTGACAAGATTTTGGTGTGAATTATTACTGCCATAATCCCAAGAATTCAAGTCAAAAACATATTTCTTCATGTTGTTGTCTGTTGTCTCACTGAAATGAATCATGGGATATGTAGTTCTCTATGTTTGTAAACTGTTACTACTATAAAACCCATGTATTTAAGCAAAGAAACTTGTGATTCGAGATATTGTGACAGTCCACGATATTATTGTGAGACTTTTGATAATACGATATCAAGATATTTTGGTTATTGTTACATCCCTAATACAGACATACATACATACTACGCAATAATAGACATGTCTCAGTCTGAGTTAGTATGTACTTTGGTTTTGAAAATCGAAAAGCAGATAATAATGAATACCAAAACTAATTTCTAAACTAGATATTCATTTGAGGAAGTATCTTTACTAAAAAACACATTAACAGGACAAAATCTGAGCTTAACTTTTAATGTGTACAGTTTTAGTAAGATTTTGATCTTAAAAACAAATATCACACCTTATGCTGAGATAAAGAATGTACTATAATTTCGTACATGAAAATTACCTTTGATTACTACAAAAATAAGCATCTTTAAAACTTCATTGTGATATCGTAATTGGTATGGAGTAATGATTCAGTTCTTTGGTATTGAAACTGAACTGGAAATTTTAGTATTCTGACATCACTAGTGTACACAAATGATTGATTTAGGATTGTCAAGAAACTGAGTCATGTCTCTCTCTCTCTCAAATACACACATGCACACACAAAACACACACACAAACACAAACTGATGCCGTCATACATTGCACACAATTATGAAATCTTTGATCCCCGAGGCTGACGCTGTGTTCATAATTACCTTGTGAGGCGATGTAATGTCTGGGTCTATGGTACCCCTGTGACACACACAAAAGCACACATAAAACATGTGACATCATTGGTCCCCTCGGGTCACATGACCTTCTTCTACAACGCCAGATTCTCTCATTTTATGACTTCACTGCTCCATAAACCTCTGCTGGGATTGAACATTAGCTCACGTCCCCGAGTAAAGGTGTCGTCATAAATAATTGAAATGTATGTTAGAGAAAACAGATACAAACAAAGGCCAATTCCTGCATAATCATGAAAATATATTATGGTATATGGTTCTAGAGGGATTTTTAAAAAGCCAGTATAGACAATTTCATTTTGTTGCTATGGCTGTTAACTGATTTTATAACATTTTGTGATCCATAGCAAGGCTCACAACAGTTACTACAGTTAAAGGTGCACTGTGTAACTTGTACCTGCCCTGCTTGTCTCCATGGAGATGTTATCGTTTTGTCTGGAATGTCCCTGTATGACATTAAGACCCCGTTTACACACTGAAACAAATTCCCGTATCACCGTATCTGAAATGATCTGCGTCCACACACGTCGTTTCTGTGTCTGCAATCCTTCCTTTTCCACACAGCTTTGAGCATATTTGTTTACGTTTTACAGAAACTAAATTTAAAACCACATGGCTAATTTGCATAAACTGAGCGCTCAAAAAACAGCTCGCTATTGTGCGCTGATGCGGTTCAGATTCTGTCGGACTAAAGGACACGACTCAGTGGAATATATGTGCTCTTTCTGTGACAGAGGGGTGTTCTGCTGATGGTGAGTCTGTTCTGTGCTTCTGTCGTGTTGGAGATGATTCATGTGAAACTTTTCAGAGATTATACATCTGCAGGTCGTACGCATAGACCGTATATATGAATATATTCTAGCCTCTTAGCGTTTTGGTGGTGAATTAGCTACTTCGCTGTGCATAGACGTACATCAGCGTATCAGTGTTTTCAGGCGTCCATACAGTGCCGGATCAGATCTGTACTCAAATGAATTCATGGGAGCTGGAGGCACCAGATCGTTCCATCTCTGGAGCCGTTTTCAGTCGGATTAGTGTGGACAAACACTGCATCCGCAACGAAAACAATTCGAATACATACTAGTGTGGACGGAGCCTGAAAATATCCAACTTGCATTTACTCAATAACATGGGTTTTTATAGACCTAAAAACTTGCATTCTTACTGTGAGTGGGCTCGCCTCTCCCCAGATCTGACATGTAACTTGGGCTCATGGTGCCCACTGCTGTCTCTGTACAAATAAATAAGTGAAATGCCATACTGTGGAATATTACAGGCAATATCTCCATGGAGAATGAAGCAATCAATCACTCAAACTTTATTTATAGAGCGCTTTTCATACAAAAAAAAAATGCAACAAAAAGCACTTGAAATGACGGACCCTCCACCACAAAAGTTACACAGTGCAATTTTAAATCCACAAATTAGCTTTTCACATTTATCTGCAAATGTAAAACGATTTGCTGCATGATGGCGTAAACATCTACGGTCTATATTTTTAGCCTAATTGGTCTTCTATTTCCATCTTTACTCATTAGTTTGTTCAAAACGAAAAATCAGATGCACTGAGGAGAAACTGGCAACGGCATATGGGCACGCAAAGGCTGGGAAATCTTAAAAAAAAAACTAACTGCTCTCCAAATATTGGCTATATTTTCAATTATGGATCAATACTGATATCTAAACTCCTCTGATATCAAGATACTTAATATAAACAGTATATTGTGTACTCTAACCTTCAGCTTCGTAACATAATAAATATTTGTGTCATGATTTTAATTAGAAAAAGTGGAGCTGAGAGGCTGCTGTGTCTCCTCTTTTGTCTCTCTTTCTCTGATTAGCGTCTCTCTGGCCTCCTCCCTCTGTTCTGCTGATTGGGAAATACACGTTTTCTGCTATAATCATAAGCACAGTTATTTCAACAGTGAGACGCGAGCTGCTGATTAATGTGACATGGTAATCACACTGAGGCTACATCAGGAGACTGGTTACAAAGACACTGCAAGGAAATCAACACAGGTTATAAACAGTTATTCAAATTATACTTTTTATTTTTTGTGTTTTTTTTTTTTTTTGTAGTAAATAAAGAGCTTTTGTTATTTCAATCACTGACAATGTGGTAGAGTTGCCCAATGTATCGTGAAATCATTGATATTATAGACAAAACATACACAATTTTTTAATTTATATCTTGGTTTTATCATTGTTATGTATGACTATAAATAACGCAGTTTTAAAATTAAACTAAAGTTACTGCATTTAAAAAGTATTTTCCAACAATATGCAGGTTTTATCATATTTTCATAGATAAAGGAGCTGTACCTAATTTTTTAATAAAGTAAAATCGATTGTATACATTTGTAAAAGACATTTTTACCATCCATGAACTAGGAACTAATGCTAGTGCGTGATTATCATGCTAGTTGCACTGCTCTCTGACCTGTGAAAGTTGTGAAAAGTACTTATAAAGTCACTGTAGTGAATAATTAGGATGCGAAGAATATGTTCGAGGAAAGTGAGGTCTAACCTTGGAAGGCTGCAAAATACAACCAGTTCTGTTTTTCAAATTTTTAACAAATCAAAATCACTGTACGCTGTGGTCCAAAGCAAAAGAAATGATCTGACAAAGGCTTTTTGCCAAAACATTATCTATAAATAAAGAACAATGTTTTGGACATCGGCCATCTGAGCGTACAATGCATTTTTCCCTCAACAGCTCATTTAATGTTAGATCATTTTAAACGTTTTTAAGAAAATTGACATAAGATCAACCCTCAAACCACATTGAAAAGTAAGACATGCATATTGTGATTAACATTTATGATTTAGCTAGATTACGTGAAAAATTCCTCAGTTGTCCAGGTAGAACTCATGGCAAAGGAGAAATTCAATTGGTCAACTGGACAAAGTTTATTTGGTCGAATGGTGGACACTTCCTTATATCTGTCTGTAGGGAGGAGCTAACTACAATGAAACTACTCTGAAACTAACACACCTACTTGTTTATAACTACTCTGAAACTAACACACAACTGTAAACAAGTAGATGTGTTAGTTTCAGAGTAGTTTCAGTGTAGTTAGCTCCTCCCTGCAGACAGATATAAGGAAGTACCCAGCAGCATTTTGACCAGAACTGAAGAAGCAGCTTGGATGAGCTGCAAAACGTATTCGACCAAATAATCTTTGCCCAGTTGACAAATTGAATTTCTCCTTTTTGCCTTAGCTAGATTACCAGATTGTAAAAAAGCTTGCTCATGACACTCCAGAGGTGTATTTGTTGTACTCACGTCGATGTAGTTGGCGTTGATGTAGTCGGAGTGTGGCTCCCCCTCCAGCAGCGGCAGGCGGACTCTGGTGTGATCGTCTGTGGGGTCAGATAGCACAACAATACAACAGGCCTAAAGTTACTTTGACTCACAGATCGGAGCGCCTACTAGCTGCAGGGAGGACTAACTAACCACCACACAGGGCAATAAGGTACATGGGCTGATTTCAGTGAACGTGTTTGGCTTGGTTTGGTGAGTTTGTAGTTGCATTGTTTTGTAAATGTTCTTATATTACACTATTTTCTGATCTATGTTATAATGTTGTTTCCTCATCTAAAACATACCTTGAGTTTGCATCAATTCACACATATTTAACACAAAAATCTTGCATATTAGTTCTTCTCCCAAACTGAAAACACTCTGTTCTTCCTTGTCATGATGTTGTGTGGTAATAAAAGAAGTGGTCCAGTTTCTATCACTAGAATCATTTGGATGATTTTGGTCCTGGAGTTGCCAACTAAAGATAAAAGGCAGCAGTTAAAAGATAAAAGCATGGACATAGAGACAGACTAATGATAAAGGGCTACTGAAACAAGTGTGAATAATAGGGATTAACGATATCCACAATATAATATTTTCACGATATGCAATCTCACGGTACGATATTTATTGCGATATTTGTGGAGGCTAACAAAACTGTGAATATGCTACTTACTTCTTTAAAAAACATTGATAACGTTAATAATGATACTGTTTCAATATGAAGAATTAAGATTTTAAAGTGTTATTAATGTTAATTCTGCTTTGACAACACCAAAGGATCATGGTCTATGTAGTTCCCTCTGTATTGCTGCACCATGACAATGAATTTAAGTGAGACTCGTAGTTCGATATATTGTGACAGTTCGTGATATTATTGTGAGACTTTTGATAATACAGTATCACGATATTTCAGTTATTGTTACACCCCTAGTGAATAAAGCAGGTATGTTTTTGATGGGATAACAGGATTATAAAATGGCTTAAATTTGCATAACATAGGAACTTTAAAGTCACAGTCGGTGATTTTTTAAATTTATTTTTTTTAACAAATTTGCACTGGAAAAACAGCCTTACTCTGATTGGGCTTGCATTTCCACAACCAGGATAAGGGCCTCCTCATCATTTTGACCAGTTTTCATGAATTTACTTTACTTGGATCTAAAATCCTAGCTTTAAAATATCAAGAAATGTTAAATTAAAAGTTCTAATAAATTTAAATGTTGGATCTAGAATATTTCAAGATTTTTTAAAGCCTAGATTTAAGTAATTTTGACACTGGCCCACAGGTTTGCAGCACGTTTTCAGTTCCTACAGACTAATATAAAAATGTGACCATATTACATTGACCCTGTTTACAATAAAATGGATCTGCGTATCACCGTATCGGAAACAATCTGCGTCATTTCTGTATATGCAATCAAAGCGTTCCCTGTCCACACAGAAATGCAAAACCGCCTGAAACTGCCTGAAACTTAGCGTAACACTGGATTTTAGACAAGCATGGTGCCTCAGAGTGAGGACTGACTCGTTTCTGTGTCCGCAAGCCTTCCCTATCTACACAGCTTTAAACATATTTGTTTATGTTTTACAGAAACAAAACTTAAAACCGCATGGCTAATTTGCATAAACTAAGTGCTCAAAAATCAGCTCGCTATTGTGCGCTGATGTGGTTCAGCTTCTGTCGGACTAAAGGACACGATTCAGTGGTTTATATGTGTTCTTTCTGTGACAGAGGAGTGTTCTGCTGATGGTGAGTATGTTCTGTGCTTCTATTGCATTTGAGATTGTTCATGATAAACTTTTCAGAGATTATGATCATACACATAGACCGTTTATATGAATGGACATATATTCTAGCCTTTTAGAGTTTTGGCGCTGAATTAGCCAACTTTGCATAGAACTACATCAGCGTATCAGCGGTTTCAGGCATCCACACAGTGCCGGATCAGATCCGTAAATGAAACTCGTGGGAGTTGGCGACACCAGATCGTTCCGTCTCTGGAGCCGTTTTCAATTGGATTAGTGTGGACGAACAGTGCATCCGCAACGGAAACGATTCGAATACGTATTAGTGTGGATGGGACCATTATCTATCCACAGTTTGACCTAACATATTTATCTCTATGGAGAATGCGGTTTTAACTTTTTGTATCGAATCATACAGGTTTAACTCAGAAGAAAGTCATGTCCTGATATTACTACATTTTGTACTTTGAACATGTACTGTCATTATTATTTAGCCTTGTCTCTATAATGGGCCCTCTGGATCAGTCTAATCTCTGGTCTGATTACTCTCTCGGTCTGTGTTCAGCTGTAACACGGAAACAGAGAAGCAGTGGACATCAAGTGGACTCATTTAAACTCATTACGTGCACTTTTCTGCTCTCTCCATTGTTCCCTCTTTTTTTTTTTTTTTGTTCTGATACGGAGCAAGGCAGCCTGATAATACCGTGGTTACATGTAAGTGCCACGGCTTCTAATGTAATGGTCTAATTTAAGAGAGAGATGGGGTGAGAAGGTGAGGAAAGCAGAAAACTAAAAAAAAAAAAAAAAAAAAAAAGAAGAAACTAAATAAAATAAAATAAAAAAATATATATTTAAGTAAGTTAGTCTGTAGTAGTAGTAGTAGTAGAGTTGTAGTAGCTGTAGTAGCCGTAGTTGTACCAGTAGTAACAGTAGTAGTAGTAGTAATAGCACTAATAGCAGTAACAGTAGTAATAGTAGCAGTATAAGTAGCAGGAGTAGTTTTAGGAGTAGTTAATTTAGTAATTTACAGTTTGTTAAATAAAGTGCTGACAGTAGTAGTATTCATAATAGTAGCAGAAGTAGCAGTAGTAGTAATAGTAATAGTAGTAGATTATTTACAGGTTGTTATATAGATATTGACAGTAGTAGTAGTAGTCATAGTAGTAGTGGAAGTAGCAGTAGTAGTAGTAGTTTATGTGGTAATTTACAATTTGTTGTATAAAGTTTGACAATATTCAATAGTAGCAGTAGCAGTAGTAGTAGTGGTAGCAGTAGCAGTAAAAATAGTAGCAGTAGCAGTATAAGTAGTAGTTGTAGTAGTAGTTAATTTACTCATTTACAGTTTGTTGTTTAAGTTTGACAATATTCAACAGTAGGAATAGCAGCAGCAGCAGCAGCAGCAGTAGTAGTAGTAGTAGTAGTTTAGTTGGTCATTTACATGTTGTTATATAAATACGGGCAATGGTAGTAGCAGTCATAGTAGTAGTGGAAGTAGCAGTAGTAGTAGTAGTTAATTTAGTCATTTACAGTAGCAATAGCAGAAGCAGCAGAAGCAATAGTAGTACTAGTAGTAGTAATAGTAGTAGTAGTAGTTTATTTGGTAATTTACAGGTTGTTATATATATATATATATATATACAGATATTGACAGTAATAGTAGTAGTCATAGTTGTAGTGGTAGTAGCAGTAATAGTAGTTTATTTGGTAATTTAGTTTGTTGTATAAAGTTTGACAATATTCAATAGTAGCAGTAGTAGTTGTAGTAGTAGCAGGAGTAGTAGTAGAAGTAGTGGTAGTAACAATAGTAGTAGTAATAATAGTAGTTAGCTAGTTAATAGTAGAAGCAGAAGTAGTAGTTCATTTAGTTTTTACATTCTAGTATTTACAGGTTTTAAATACAGTTTGACAATATCATATATACAATTGCCAAAGATGCACACATTTTTACACACTTCTGTATAATGTTGAAAAAAATTCAAATAAATAAATAAAAAAAACCAAAAAAAACTACAACATAAATGCGGTAATTCTCAGTTTGAACAACAACAAATACTTCAATGATGAACCTGCTACTTCCTGGTGGAGTGGCCAAATGCTTTTATGGAGACATTTTTTCAGGTAGGTGTCAACTATTATGCCGGCCAAGACAAAAAGACGAAAATTACAAAACAACTCTAGTGTTTAATTATGTGAATGGAAGGTGGCAAAAGCTAAATTATGACATTAACCACACACACACACACCAAAAAATAAAAAATAAATTCAAACAGATATTTCAAGATAGGACTATATATTTTTCCTATTTTTTATGACAACTTGGAGCGGAACAAAACATTGCGATAATGGGCGTGGCCAATGAGATGACGATTAGGAGAAACTGGAGGTGGTAGAGGTGAGGATGAGGAGGTGAAAGGGACAATGAGAGGATGAGCAGAGTGGAGGAGATGATGAGAGTTTGAGGAAGAGAGCAGGGGAAGATGAGTTGAGTAAAGGGAACGTGATGAGAGGATGAGGAGAACAAAGGGGACAATGAGAGGATGAGAAGAGTGAAGGAGATGATGGAAAGAGAAAGGGACGATGAGAGGATGAGGAGAGAGAAGGAGACTATGAGAGGATGAGGGAGTGAAGGGAAAAATGAGATGGTGAGGAGGTGAAGGGGAGAATGAGAGGATGAGGAGAGCACAAGGAAAGAGAAGGAGACAATGAGAGGATGAGGAGAGAGAAGGAGACGATGAGAGGATGAGGAAAGAGAAGGGGACGATGAGAGGATGAGAAGATTGAAGGAGATGAGAGGATAAGGAGAGTGAGATGATGAGAGGATGAGGAGAGTGAAGGGGACGATGAGAGTTTGAAGAGAAAGAAGGGGACAATGAGAGGATGAGGAGAGAGAGGAGGAGATGATGAGAGTTTGAGGAGAGAGAAGGGGACGATGAGAGGATGAGAAGAGTGAAGAAACTGCTGAGATAGTGATGAGAGTGAGGACGAGCAGCAAGGAGAAGTACCTGGAGTGAGGGGATGAAGGCTGAGGAGCAGGTAAACTCTGGAGAAACTGTGGGCTAGACAGGAACAAAGTCAGCTCTTCCAGGCTCAATTTATGATAACTCTATTACAACTAGACTATATGCTCCCAGATTACTATTGTGTGCACATTTATTCACCGTGATAATATCGGCATTTTACTACATCTCCATACGCTCATACCTCGGGCCTTGCATTTCAGCACCAAGGCCAGCTCCTTTCATATTGACATTACACAGTTACACAAATACCCAACGGCAAAAACACCGGTAGCTGATACGAAATATAATCT